CCACTTCTCTAGAGTCCAGTGGCGGTGTGCTTTACACCACTGCATCCGACGCTTTGCATTGCACTTGGTGATCTAAGGCTTGGATGCAGCTGCTCGGCCATGGAAACCCATTCCATGAAGCTCTCTACGCGCTGTTGTTGTGCCAATCTGAAGGTCACACGAAGTTTGGAGGTCTGTAGCTATTGACTCTGCAGACAGTTGTTGACTTCTGCGCACTTCAGCATGCGCTGACCCCGCTCTGTCATTTTATGTGGCCTACCACTTTGTGGCTGCGTTGTTGGCTGAGTTGCTGTTCCCAGGTGCTTCCACTTTGTTATAATACCACTAACAGGTGACCGTGGAATATTTAGTAGCAAGGACATTTCACGGAACACCTGAATTCAATGATTTGGAGGGGTGTCCCAATACTTTTGGCAATATAGTGTATAATCTTATATTCAGCTCATGTCACAGTAAGTTTAAGCACATAGTTCGGAATTCACTGTTTTATACAACTAAATAAATAAATCAAATATTTTTTGTTCTCTTTAAAGATAAATTCCATCCTTGGAAATATGGATTGAGAATTAGTAACACTCAGTAGGTAGTCAAAAATTTCACCAGTCAGCATGACCGGACTATAGCCTTGCAATTTATGTTAAAAAAGTTTGGGGACACATAGAGCTTTCTTTTGGAGGTATATAATCACCACGGGGGGTATTTTTTTTTTTACTATATAATTTAAAAAGTACCATAAATGTAAAAAAAAAAACAAGAAAGTTTCCCTACGTTATGTTATAAAACATTTATTCTTACCCATATTTTTAGTAAAACATAAAAGTCAGCGTCAGGCGCACCTGACGAATATATGCGTGTATGTTATGGGCGCGGACTCAAAAAATTAGACAAGCTTCTTTTTAGGCAGACTTATGTATTTTTGGCTCCATAGAGTTTATTGGGAATGAGCGTACGATACCTAAAGATGCTCACACTCAAGTGTGAATGGGGCTCAGAACACTTTTGAGGGAATTTATCAAAAATGGAGCAGACAAAATCTGGAGCAGCTGTGCATGGCAACCATTCAGCTTCTCTCTCCAATCTGTTCAGTTAAGATTTGAAAATGAAAGAGAGAAGCTTGATTGCCATGCACAGCTGCCCTAGATTTTGTCTGCTCCCGTTTGGATAAATTCCATTCTTTATCTTTTATACTTGTTCCAGGTCAGTGGCTCAAAAAGCAATGAAGTCAATGAATCACCATGACAGCCAGGCAATTAGCATTTTGGATGGAATGGCCAGCGATGGTGGACATCATGATTTTTTTAATGACAGGTTTCTTATAAAGCCATGGACTAATTACAACAGCCCGGGCAACTAGCATTTTTGGCAGGTAGTCAATAGTGTTGTGCGGGGTGCAAACCCAGTTTGCCGGCATTCACCCAAACCCGTGCAAGTCTATCACTGACACACTCCTGGCCAGGAAGGGGGTCTAAACACCTGGTCTTGAAGTGGTTAATACACACCTATTCTAAATATAAACTAGCAAGATATACCTCTGCCACCGTCTGTTCCAATGCCACCCCTGCCCATTACCACATACACACGATTTTTAAGAAACTGCCTTTGGTTAATCAAATCATGCAGCTTACCCGATCAGCATCACCTTTAACTCCAAAAACACTTCCGCATTCGCCGGCAACCAGCGGCGCGCCTCTCTGACGTCAGCGTGTCTTCTTTCGATGACGTCCAAGTCATGCGCGACCGGTGTTCTATCGAAAGTTCCAACTCCTCGAGTTCTCCAACTGCCTAATTTCCGGTTTAGTAGGCACTAAGAGGTTTGACCAAGAAAGCTGTTCTGCACGAGCGCCAGCCGCGGCATTGCCCTATAGACATAGACCACAGCAATGAAGTATTAAAATGAAGTAGGATCACACTAATCCAGCACGTTATTGATCTCGGGTGCCCCACTCAATATGGCCGCCGCTTGAGTGGGGCACCTGAGATTAATAACGTGCTGGATTAGTGTGATCCTACTTCATTTTAATACTTCATTTCTGTGGTCTACGTGTATAGGACAATGCTTGTGTTTTAGAATGAATGGGACTTTTGAGCTGGATAGTTTTTCAGAGCTGCCTGTAGAGGGAGCTGTGCAACACGCTTCTTGTACAGCTCATCTTTACCCATCATGGCTGTGTGAAGTGACAATGTAACAATCCGTTTACAGTAGAAGACTATATAATTTCGTGCAGAGAAGCATGTTGCTGTCTATTATATAGTGACAGATGACAAGGGTTGAACATTTGTATGGCAGGGCCAAGTAAAACAATCACATTTAATTCATCGGTAGCTATCTGTGACCTTTGTTCTGTCAGCATCAGACAGCACATCTGTAAATTGAAAATCTCCACAGCTGCAACTTCCTTTATGTGAATCAATGATTCATAAAATCACCCAAACCGAACTGCCCAATGGGCTTCAACAGGAAACGGTTATAACGAATTCAACAGGCACACAGACATTTGTGGTTTGGGCAGATTGGTGCACGTGACCACAAGATACATGCACTGCTCGCACATACATATAAGAATTGAAGGCGAATGAGCCTTTGTGGGGCATGCGGAGAGGAGATTTAATACGTAGAAAAACAATATGTGAATGTTTTTGGCACATTTAAAGACTGGTATGGCTATAGTACTGTATATTGTATTGACACTGGATTTTAACAACCAGCGTTTAGTGACACTCTAAAAATTGCGTATAGACCAATATCCCTGTGGAAGACCTTGGGGTGCAAGTACACTCATATTTCCCAACTGTCCCTATGGGAACCAACATCCTCTTTCCTCAATTGCCCCTGTTTCTGTTCTCCCAGTGCCCCTGAGAGACCCACACAATCGGTCTGCAAAATCAGACTCTGAAAGTAAAGGTGCCCATACACTGCACGATTATCGTACGATAATCGTATGCGATCGGTTTTTTGTACGATAATCGAGCAGTGTGAACGGAGACGTGCGACCGTTTCTACTGTACGGTCGCACGTCTTCTGTCGAACCAGCATGTTCGAAACCAGCCGGGAATCGTGCCACAGATGATCGAGTTGCAAATGTTACAATGAAAACACTTAACGCACCCCAGTTTACTCGACAGAGTCAGTTGAATTGGGCCATCGGTTGGGTGTTAGACCCTGTGCCCGAGACTATTGGACGGAACACTTCTTGCCTATATCTACTGCTTGCTAGCAGTAGATATAAGCAAAAAAAAACGGAGGGTTTAGAACCCCTTTAAGTTGATTATACAAGCAGATTGTATGGTCAGATTGTAATGTATATGGTAAACCTTACAGCAGGAGACTTAGGTGCAATGGGAGTAGAGATTAATAAAATGGCAGATATGTACTGGCACTTGGTGCCTACCTTTAAGTAGGGAACATTGCATACATTTCATCATGACAGGTTTATTTTAATGTATAACAACAAATAATACTGCACTGATGTTTCAGGGACGCAGTGAACCGGTTTTCAAACTGTAATAACAGATAACCAAAACCTGAGATGCATATCTAGGTGGAAGCAACAAACCTCCTAAAATAATAAAACCCCACCACAATAAAAAAGGAAAGTGAACATGTACTTTGTCCGTACAGGGTATTAGGTACCGTAGGCAGGAAGTGTTTACCTTCTATGCTGTTCCTTACTGCTCAAATCTGTTACAAGACCATTTGGAAATTTCAGTGACTTTAATACGTCAAGGCACACCTTCATATGATGTCACTTGAGACTAAGAAATGTCTGCTCAAACACTGAGCACTTCAAGGGGTCATGTGGTTTATCTCTAGTAAGCTCATAGTTATTGTTGCAGTGACCTTCATGCTTGCTTTTCCTGTTTTATTTTATTGTAAACATGAAGATTTCTAGATTCACCACTAGATGGTGTTCTACGTTTGACTTGGCCTCATTAACATCCATAATTAAAGATATCTCTGGGGAAATCACAAAACTCCCCTTGCGATCGGGCTAACCCCGCAGTGCAAGGGTTAAATGCTCATTTAGGTCTAGGCCTAGGGTTTTACGTACCTGCTTCCCTGGCAGTTGGTGCTATTCTCCAGCTTGCAGACTGTCTCTCTGCATCCTCATGTATAACGCAAGGCTATGGGCCCTGCATTGTACTTGATGACATCAGCAGGCCTCTTGAGTTTTTAAATACTAAAAAAGGGTCTAAAAAGGAAGGGAGACAACAAGTATTTCAAAAAATCAAGCACTCAATATATCCCAAACAGTTCAAATCCAAATTTTTTACGCCACTTAGCTCCCAGGCAATTTGTTCGCCAAGCCCTGTGTGAGCACCACCACAGAAGCATAGTGGGGTAAAGGCTGTGAGTGGCAGTCTTGTAGCTCAGAGGAGCCTGATTGAGCAGGGATGAAAGTCCTAATTTCAGGTACCCTAGACCGAATCAAGCATTTAATCTTTGTGGTGTGTGGACAGCCCCACTGCAAGTGGCTCTTCAATCACAGCTATCTGGCTTGACTGTCCTCTGCCTGGCTTTTGGAGTGCCATGTCTAAACCCCGCTGAAGCTTTTGTTGCAGGGATAGCCTGGAAGTGACCTTTGAGCACTGGGTTCCACGTAGGGTGCTTTGCAGAATCCATTCTGGTGAAAAGTTTGCCACAAAGCACTATCCAGGTCCAGTGCTGCTGGCTTAGACTCAGCGCTTTCCCTGTTTCCAGAGGCTCACTTTGTGAAAAAGTCAGTTGGGGCAAGCACCAGAAGATACCTCAAGTACATAGGTCTTTGGGCACCTTTCAAAATTCATTTTTTTTCCTGCCAGTTTGCACAGCAGAAGGGTTTAACACTGTGGAACTGAGCTCTGACATGATCTGTTGGGTAGAGTGTAGCAGGTACATGCCCTCTTTCCTGCCAGACAGTATCGGGTAAGCATCTCCCTGCTGCTGCTCCTGCTTGCAAAGAGCTATGTAGAACGTCAATCTTCGAACTGTTTCTGCTCCTACCTACAGTGACTTTGGTCACCTCCAGCCATCCAACCCTTACCTGCTACCAGCTGTCTGGGTTTTGTGAGTACCTGAGGCATTGTCTCATACCCAGAGCCTTAAAGTCCATTTCTAACTTTGTAAGTGATTAGCATTTATTGTGGCAGAGAGCTCAGTTGTAATATACACAGATTGCTTTCAACACACAGAGGCAGCCATTTCCATGAGGATATAAAGAGGAAAGCTGACAAAAACCTAAGTTTCTGTGTTCATATACAACAACTGCATATGCCTGCTTCATGTTCACTTGGTGTACATTGCTGGCATATGTTTTTTTTAAAATACCTCCGCAGGTGGAAATGGGCTTTATGTTGCCTTACTGACACACAGTAGAAAGGTATCATGGCACACTCAAAAAACCAGCATGTAAAACAACTTGTCTCTCCACTAAGGTTAATAACAGAGGTTTGGATACACGTCTTCTGCAGAAGACGTGTATCCAAACCTCTGTTATTAACCTTAGTGG